TTAATCATTCATTAATTATTTTTATATTATTCTTTATATTAGTCCCTGTTGACTATTCTTGAAAGCTCTCAACCTTACATTTCAATCAAGTATTCTATCATACCCTCTGTAAGTCTATACAAATATAAATATATATATAAATATTTTAAATATGCGTGAAAATACTGTGCACAAAGTGAATTCACTTTACATATGTATAAACATATATGTATTTACGCACAGATACATATACACCCATATCGATTTGCCATTTAACATGTTTGTTCATGTTAAGCGGACTTTCATCCTTCTCTGCCATTTGCAACGTGTGCAGGTGATAAAAATAATTTGTTAAACATTTTGTAGCTAAACAAAATGCAGCAATTCGTTGGCATTATAAAGACAGTCGCCACATAAAACTTTTGTACGTGTGTGTGTGTGTGTGTGTGTGTGTGCCTTGGTTTTTATTGCCCCTTGTTGACGCTGCTGTTGACCCCTGGCAAACGCCTTTGTTGCCGCAGACTCCGACGCTGCGGTTCATGAACTCTGTCGCCGAAATGAAAAGTTTGACTTTTATGCGAGACGAGCAAAGTTTGTGTTTTTTTTATTGTATTTGTTGGTTTTATTTTTACTTTTTTTTTTTTTGTCTGTTTAAAGCTTCACAACGCATGGCTCCAGACGTTGGCATTGGCCGAGCACAATTGAGTCGCTGCGAGCGTTGCAAAAGGATTTCGCAAGTCGTATTTGACTTTCGACGAATTTCCATTTCAGAGATAACAATTTTTATTGCGCTTTTGTAGCCGATGGCTATCGCTGACTGTGTGTGCCTTATAAGCATATAGCTGTCCTTTATCCTTGGTCTTTCTCTCTATCTGTCTCTTTCTCTCTCTTACTTTAAGGTCGCTTTAAATAATTGACAGCAATAGATAAGTTGAGCTAATGCCAGGATATTAGTTGAGTCCGCAAATGCAACTAGCCAACTGTCGTGCACAATTTCACAGCAGCTGTGCACACACAGCACACACACACACACATACTCACACCGACCTAGGCTCACTTAAATATCCTGCCAACAAATGCGCAACAATAACAATTTAATATTTGGGGCAAGTGCTGCAACCATTTGTGCAACAATGCAGCAGCAGCTTGTGCTCAACTGTGGTTGCAACCACAGCCTTGGCCTCGCACACACACACACGCACACACACACAGGCACACGCATACTAGACCATAATTATCCAATTGAACAATAAACAGATGCCCGCCAGGCCTTCAGTCAATAGACAATGTGTGCAGTCCCTGCATTTCAGCTGCCAGCCCAGACAGAGAGACAGAGAGACAGCCAAAGAGGCAAGCTTGGCAGGCAGTCAGCCAGACAATTGTTATGCCCTCTTTTTGAGGACTATTCGAAAGAGGGTGTGCTAATACTGTGCACAAATGTTCAATTTAGTATAAAGGACAATGTAAACACTTAACAGTTGACAATAATATCCGTTTGGATGAGATGAATGGATATACACAAATCTTAAATATTTTATAATCAAATGATAAAAGCGGGTAGTGTATATGTACGCAAGCCGAAGGCCTCAGTAACCAGTGCTTAATTTTAAGTTAGTTAACGCCCAATAAATATATATACTTATTCGTATGTACCGATTGCTATTGATTCTGATGATTTTCTATTCGAAATTTTATACTTAATTTTCTCTTATTTAATCACGCTCAGAATGCAACAAGTCTCTCTTCTTGTTTAAAATGCCGACAGAATGCTCGCTCTATTCTTTCTGTTAGTGCCTCAGGTTCGGCTCCTTTTATAGCGACCGAATGCACCACAGTCGGTCGGGGCGCCTCTCTAGCTATCGAGCCTCGTTTGAAGATTTCCCTTAAGCAGCTGTCTTGGGTTGGTCTCTGGAAATCTCTGCTTCAGTTCACGCATATTGTTCATTGAAATAAAATAAATTATATATGTCAAATAATATGCTTAATGTTAAGTCTCATATCATAAATGTTATCAGAGAGCACCTCTTAATGGAAGTTAGTTTCAGTACTTAGATTCAGGCACAGAAATAGAGCAGCTGCTGTACTCTCTCTCTCTCTCTCTCTGGCTCTTTCTCTCTCTCTCTGGCTCTTTCTCTCTCTCTCTCTCTCTCTCTCTCTTTCTCTCTCTCTGGCTTTTCTCTCTCTCTCTCTCTCTCTCTCTCTCTCTCTCTCTGTCTCTCTCTCTCGCTCTTAGTTTGTTCTATTGCTAACAGGGTAGCTGCTAGTCGTGTTCTCACAATATATATTTATTGCTATTGCCAGTTGCAGTTGCTGCTGTTGTTGTCTCTGCTGCTGCTGTGGTTGTTGCTGTTGCCTCTGCTGCTGCTGCTGCTGCTGACAACAGCAACTGTCACTAGGGCTATGGTCAACCTGCAGCAGCTGCCAACTGAAGTGAAATGATGTGCCAAAAACGTTTATCTAAGGAGCAGCAGGACATTGGAGTGAAGCAGCATTGTGTTTTCTCTGTTTCGTCTAGGCATGGGTCAACGACACTGCCTCTGCCTATCTCCCTCTCTCTTTCTCTCTCTGTGTGTGTGCGTACTTTTAATGAATATTTATATGAGCTTTAACTAATTTTGTTCGTTTTATTTTTGTTTTTCCGTTTGCTTTTGCAGGTGCAGGCAGCTTGAACAATGTGCAGACAGTTGCTGGCTAAACACGCTGGCAGGACAACAGACGCAAGGATAATCAACAGCAACAGCAAGGCTAAGCTCTAACAACAACAACAAACATTGGCAGCAGCAACAACTTTTTATAATGCATTTTTGAAAGCAAAAGAAACAAAAAGAAAAAAAAAAACAATTAAGGCAATGCCCTCCATGAAACTTTTAATGCAAGCAGCTTAAAAGGCAGCATACACACTCACACACACACACACACACACATTTGCACAGCTACATACACAAACACACACAACTTGACTGATAGCTTAAAAATACTAAGAACAACTACAAAAAACAAAAAAAGAAAAACAAAAAACAAAAAAGAAAACAGTAGCAGCAACAACATAAACAAACCAAAACAATAAGAAAGGGATTTAAAAAAAAAAAAAAACATTTTTAAATATTATAATTAAGTAAAACTAGCAAAAGCACATAATATGCCAAATATGCAAAGCCGCTGCAGCTGCTGCTAAACACCAGCTAAATACAACAACTCGAAGCGAACAGCAGCAGCAGCAACAACAACAGCAACAAGCAGCAGGAGCAGCAGCAACAACAACACTTGACGACAGCTGCAACATGGGCAACAAATGCTGCAGCAAACGTCAGGATCAGGAATTGGCCTTGGCCTATCCCACGGGCGGCTATAAGAAATCCGACTACACCTTCGGCCAGACGCACATCAACAACAGCAGCGGCGGTGGCCCCGGCGGCGGAGTGGTGGCCGCCCTCGGCCAGAAGCACAACAATGGCGGCTCACTGGACTCGCGCTATACGCCGGATCCGAATCGCGGACCACTGAAGATCGGCGCCAAGGGCGGCGTCGACATCATACGAACGCGCACCACACCAAGTAAGTGTAGTTTGCAATGAGATTGGCCAATGAATGCGATGATGATGCGAGGGTAGATCAATGAATTGGCCAGTGTAGAAATATGATAATATATGACACATTCTTGAATACTTGCCATCCATAGAAAAGCTTAGAAAACTGAGTAAACTAAAATTAAATTAAATAATAGGCACACAAAAAATATCAGCTTAGTTTTGCAGAAGAACTATACGAGGGCTGTATGAAAAAAATTGAGCTTAAAACGTTACAACTTTTCATATATTTAATTTTAATTCAACTTTATATTTAAGCAGATGATCTTCATGGCATATGCATATAGAAATACCACACCAAATAAAAAAGGTTTATATAATACATAAATAAAATCATTTGCTCCCAAGGTGCTCAAGAGTTTACCCCAGGTGCTGCCTTGTTGACTCTCGCTTTTAATTAGCTTTTTGTGTTGGCTCTTTTTTTTCGAAGCCAATTTCAACTTTGCTCTCACGGGAGTCGAGGGTTACGGAAGGTCTTTCGCATATTTGCATTGCTTATGTGACAGCTTGAATTAACCTTGACCAGTTGCTCCGTGTGTGTGTGTGTGTGTTGGCCCGCTTAATGTGCCTGTGTCACTGTTGCTGTTACTATTACTGTAACTGTTTCTATTGCGTTTGTTTTAGCTGACGGCGACACTGCTAACTGCATAATTAGAGCTCAGTCGACACTTGACGCTAGCGAAAGTTATATGAATATATAAAGAGTCGCAGCGTATGTGTAATATGGCCTAAAGAACTCTATATAGTTAGCCAACTTGAAAGGCCAGAGTTGAGGGGCATATAGAGTAGATCTTATAAAGTCAGAGGGAGTACGTGGGAAAAATCGAAAGAAACTCTTGTTAGAATGTTAGATAAGTATATAAAGTAGGTATATACAGTAGGTGTATACAGTTGGTATTCAGTAGATGTATATAAAATTTCACTAAAATGTTTGTTTAGGTTCTTTAAGCTCTTTGCTTCATTCCATCATTATTTTGTTGCCTGTGCCTTTTAAAGCGTCTCCTGAGGGAAATAGTTTTCTGTTTCAACCTTTTTTTTTTTTAGCAATGACTGCGTTTAATTATCGCTTGATTTAACGCTACATTGCGTGTCTTTCTGATTCAGATTTTAGTTCACGTAAAGCCGCTTAGGTCTTGTAAACCCGTCAAATGCTTTGACAAAAGGCTGAAAGCTTCAAACGAGATTTACGCGTCAGCACTTGTGCGACAAATGCAGGGCAAGGCAACAGCAGCAACAACAACAACAATAATAGATAAACAAATGCAAAGACATGCCAAGTTGTCCGTGTGGGCTAAATCAATTAGTCAAAAGCCAAATGCCAAAAAAAAAAAAAAAAAAAAAAATGGGGCTTAAAATGAAATTGAATTTGTGGCTTGGCATTTGTTAGTTGCGCCAAAATCTATGCTAATCAATTTGGGAAGACAACTTTTGGGGCCACCCTCGTTGATATATCGTATCGACGGGCGTCAGCAGAGACTCATTAACTTCCAATTAGATGCTAACTAGATATTTAAAAAAAAATGTTTGTTGCCAATTTGTCGCACATAAATTGCAATTTCTGCCTCGCCGCATCGCAAATCAAATTTGCAACCAGACGAAAGTTATACATCTCGCTCGCTCACACACCGACCCTTAATCTCTCTCTCTCTCTCTCTCTTTCTTTCGCTCCCTCTTTAGCTGCTGGTGTGCCTGGCGGTCTGCCCAAGCGACGCGTCGTCGTTGCCCTCTACGATTACAAATCGCGCGATGAATCTGACTTGAGCTTCACCAAAGGCGACCGCATGGAGGTTGTCGATGACACCGAATCGGATTGGTGGCGCGTCGTTAATCTGAGCACACGTCAACAGGGTCTCATACCGCTCAACTTTGTGGCCGAGGAGCGCAGCGTCAACAGCGAAGAGTGAGCATCCACCTTATATCTGTATATATATAAAAAATATGCTTACATTCATTACGCTCTTCTATTTCCAGCTGGTTCTTTGAGAACGTGCTGCGCAAGGAGGCGGACAAGCTGCTGCTGGCCGAAGAGAATCCGCGCGGCACCTTTCTCGTGCGCCCCTCCGAGCACAATCCGAACGGCTACTCGCTGTCGGTGAAGGACTGGGAGGACGGACGCGGCTATCATGTGAAACACTATCGCATTAAGCCGCTGGACAATGGCGGCTTTTACATCGCCACAAATCAAACTTTTGCCTCGCTCCAAGCGCTTGTCATGGCCTACAGCAGTGAGTAGATAAATTGTGGATGCACAGAGTGTTTAAAGCAACACGAGTTATAATCGCACGATATTTGTTGTTTTTGCAGAAAACGCTTTGGGTCTGTGCCACATTTTGTCGCGTCCCTGCCCCAAGCCACAGCCACAGATGTGGGATCTTGGACCGGAGCTGCGCGACAAATATGAAATACCACGCTCGGAGATCCAGCTGATACGCAAGCTGGGCCGCGGCAACTTTGGCGAAGTCTTTTATGGCAAATGGCGCAACAGCATCGATGTGGCCGTTAAAACACTGCGCGAGGGCACAATGTCCACAGCTGCATTCCTGCAGGAGGCGGCCATAATGAAAAAGTTTCGACACAATCGACTGGTGGCTCTCTATGCCGTCTGCTCACAGGTTAACTGAATGCCCATTAAATCTGAAATTCAACCTAATCTCTAATCGCATTCCCATTTGTCAGGAGGAGCCCATTTACATAGTGCAGGAGTACATGTCGAATGGCAGCCTGTTGGACTTTCTGCGCGAGGGCGAAGGTCGCTATTTGCATTTCGAGGATCTCATCTATATTGCCACCCAGGTGGCCAGCGGCATGGAGTATCTGGAGTCCAAGCTGCTCATCCATCGCGATCTGGCGGCACGCAATGTGCTCATCGGCGAGAATAATGTGGCGAAGATTTGTGATTTTGGCCTGGCGCGCGTCATAGCCGACGATGAATACTGCCCCAAGCAGGGCTCACGTTTCCCCGTCAAATGGACAGCGCCCGAGGCGATTATCTATGGCAAGTTCAGCATCAAGTCGGACGTCTGGTCGTATGGCATATTGTTGATGGAGCTGTTCACGTACGGACAGGTGCCCTATCCGGGCATGCACAGTAGAGAGGTGATCGAGAATATTGAGCGCGGCTTCCGTATGCCAAAGCCAACCGCACACTATTTCCCCGATAATATCTATCATCTGTTGCTGCAATGCTGGGACGCGGTGCCCGAGAAGCGGCCAACGTTCGAGTTCTTGAATCATTATTTCGAATCGTTTTCGGTAACATCCGAAGTGCCGTATCGGGAGGTGCAGGATTAAGCAGCAACAGTCACATCACACACACACACCCATACATCTATAAATATATAT